TTGAGTCGTCACGCCCGTTAATTAATCATCAGCTGAATGCCGGCCGTTTAATCTGACGTCACGGTACGTAATTTACCGTAAACTTGGGCGGCGCCACGCTTAATCTCGTGCCACTGAGGAATTTAATGTTGGACCAATTTGCATCCGGTTAAGTGGTTGTTTGAATTGATGAGCCATTGCAGGATGGGGCTTATAGACTGGTGGAGACCAGATAGGCATCGGTGGCCAACAAGTCCGCGCCTCTCGTAGCAGGCGGATCCAGAATGCCTTTGTGTGTGTGTGGCGGGGGGGGGGGGGGGGCACCGGCTTGGGTAAAGCCTTAAAAGGAGCTGTGATTTTCAAGGATTCTTCAGACTTTGCTTCCGTTTACCTCAAACAGTGCTCCAAATTAGAAAGCTACAAAAGGTGCTTAGAAACTTTTTCAGCCAAGAAATTAGTATTCTTATGCGACCTGGGCCATCTTGAAGGGGTCAATGCCCAAGTACTCGCCTCCCCCTTTTTGGATTTGCCCTTGGCACCGTTCTCCCAGTATGACCGGGTGGTTTGCCAAATATTGGGAATGAAATAGACGAAAGACAGTTGCAATCTGAATAAAATTGTGAATACATACGCCTTGTTTCTGACTACACCATGAAGCGAAATCAACGATGATAAGCGTGCCAAACTTTTGCACTTGTCACATCGGACTATGAACAACCTAGTCCATCCAGTTGCTCTAGTTCGGTCACGAAAATAACAAAATAACGTCATTTACCCTAGCGCATTCCGAAACACTGGACTTGGCTCCATTAAGCAGCCATATTAAATTTGTTTATGCGTATGCGTTTTACCTCTCAATGTGTCACGAGGCTACTTGCACTCGTAACTTTAATGTACTTCTCCATTTGAAATATGCCACTCGCCGGGGTAACGAAGTTAAAATAGTGCCCAAGGCCCAAAGAAGCCTAAAGCTTTGCGGAAATCCAATAACGCGCCGACAAAACAGCTTGTTTGTGTCAGTTTAACGACACTCTTTCCTGCCAGCCTGGATTCGCATAGCAAAGAGTTCCAAACGTAACACGGGTGGCGTTGGAATGCCGATGAAAACATCCCAAGCCATCCAAACAAGTTAAATGCACGCGTTCTAAGTAACTGCTGTTCACGTTCCATTAAAATCTCTCTACACCGCGTAATTGTGTGGTGGAGCTTAATGGGTACATCACGTGCTGGCTGTCGGCCTGGATACGATATAGCACAGACTGGGCCCCTGGGACTGACAGTTCCTTAAAAAGGTCCGGGTCCAGGGTTAGAGCTTTGTGAAAAAAATATTGAGGGCGCTGAAGCCCACACAAGGAGCAATGGTGGCCCGGAGATTTCGCTCGAGCCCCTCTCCAAAGCTTTTAGTACTGCTATGAAGTTCCCCCCACGACTGGCTTCACAGAAAGGTCTTCTTATGTTATTTCATCTCAACTCAAGGATAGGCTCGAGAGGCATCCCACGTCCGGCCGATCGTCCTCCGTGGTGCCGATTCAGGTGCCGGGGGACGGGGGGGGGGGGGAAGGCTTGATCCACCTGAGGTTCAGTGGGACAAGGTCGGTCTAATCACTCGGCACGGACCTCGCGCCGATAACCTCGGCACAGAACGGGCGCAAAAAACACCGTCGTTATGGACCGACGCCTCGCGGCGCCCAGGCGATGGACAGCACGTCCAGCGCATAATTATGTTTCTAGGTATGGCCATCGTAAAAAGATATTGGCTATCATCTCCCAGCACTCTGGCCGCCATACAAGCCGAAGCTCAGTTTGAAAGGACAGCCGAGGGCCAGCGTCACATCCGGACAGCGGCGGTCCGTGGCGGTCCGGTCCCAGCGGTCCGCGGTACAGGCTTCGCAACGATGTTGACGTCGGGGACAAGCTCCGGCCACAAACATCAGTCGGGATGAATGCTTGTTAAGCCAATGAGCTGTTGATACGGTCTAGGCAAGCCGGGGTTCGGCGTCATCTCTAACACCATCCGTCTCAGCCTACGCATTGAATGACAGCGTTTGCCACGTGTTGCTAGTCAATGTTCAGGACCTTTCCCCTCACTTCATCCCTAAACACATTCCTCTCTCTCCTCTCTCTCTCTCTCTCCCTCGATCGAGCTCTCTCCTCTTCTCCGCGACTCTCTCCGCTCAGAAGAGATCTTCAGAGAGGGAAGATGGAGTCCTCTCTCCTCTCTCTCTCTCTCTCATCTCTCCTTCTCTCTCCTCTCTCTCTCTCTCTCTCTCTTCTCTCTTCTCTCGCACTCTCTCTCCGTGCCTACTGCACATTTCCACAGGCCCTCCCAGCGTTTTTTTCCCTCTCATTAATGTGACTCGAAAAATGGCTGTTTATCTAATTTGTCGCCGCCACGTGTGATTGTGGTGGGTCGGGCGCGGCGATGACGTCACTTTTCTCCTCTCCATTTGTCGGCGTCGCCCGGGGCGATCGATATTGTCAGGATCCGCGAGGGACGGGCGGACGCGGGGACGTCTCACACGGGCGGAGGTGACCCGCTGGCGGCTCACGCAGGGGACAGGGATGTACCACGAGGGACGGGCAGACGCCTCATACGGGCGGCGGAGGTGACCCGCAGGCGGCTCGCATAGGGGACAGGAAGGCACCGCGAGGGACGGGCAGACGCGGGGACGTCTCACACGGGCAGCGGAGGCGACCCGCAGACGGCTCGCGCAGGGGACAGGGATGTACCGCGAGGGACGGGCAGACGCTTCTCACGGGCTGGCGGAGGTGACCCGCAGGCGGCTCGCGCAGGGAACAGGGATGTACCGCGAGGGACGGACAGGCGCCTCACACAGGCGGTGGAGGTGACCCGCAGGCGGCTCGCGCAGGGATGTACCGCGACGGCGCAGATGGACCGCCATTGCCGGAGAGAGAATGAGCTTAAGATCAGCGATGTTTTGAACAGATATTTTTTCACGTCTAGGATCGTTCTGTTTTGCTTTGCTGCCTGGTGTATATAGCTTGCTTTTAGCGGGCACACACCAACTTGGTCGCGGCTTAGATGACGATTCGAGTCGGACCTTTACATGATGCTCGGTGGAATCACATGCTATATGAAACTGCCCATTCTGTTTTTGCGCAACGCAAACATTTCCGTGAAAGATGGCACATTCCCGTCTTAAGCTCTCCTTACGTCGGTAGCTTTAATGGCCGACTTCCTGTGAGTTCTCTCATGCTCCGCTTGGCCGCCATGGCCGGTGCTTATCGAGGCAGGACTAACGCCCCGTGTGCGGAACAATGATTGGACGCACGCCCGAGCGGCTTCGATAAGCTGATGCATGATTGAGTTGACGGCTTGTGTCGGGTGAGTAGTTTGATTAACCCGTTGTGGGCTCGTCAAAATTTAATGATGACGTGTTGTCAACGCGCGCTACCTCTTTCCTTTCGGCATCAAAACCAGTAACCGTCATATTAGAAGATGGTGGGCGAAAAGAGGCGTGGTATATGCTGCCGGTTTTACCAGTTGTTCAGTGTCTCTGGATTCTCGTGCAGGATTCTTTTGGCGCTATGCTTCACTTGTCTGCGTTGCTTCCAACCTGTCCATGGCCTTTTCGTGACCTCGCCGCTTGCCAGTGGCACTCGGCCCATCCGCCATCCACCGCTCATGCCAGCGCAGAGTCCTCCCGGCCACCCCGACAGCACCGCTGGACTTCTGCTGCACCCGGGAGCACGGTGAGCTCCGTGTAACCCGCCGTGCTCCTGCAGGCAGGGGCCGCATCCGGACGTGTTTATTTTGGTGGCGCAGGTCGGGGAAGTGCCGTGTTGGATTTCATCGTAGCCGCTCTCCCGCGGCTGCCTCCCTGCACGGGCTCCGCCGCCGCCCACCGACAGGGCGGAGGCGGAGGTCGAGGCGAGCGTGGCCCGGACAGCGGCGTACGGTCGTTCCGGAGGGCGGAGCAGGGCAGGACATTCTCATTCTAAAGTTAGGAATTGGGATGGGAGCACCAACCAGCATCGACAGACGGGCGCAATGGAAAGTGCGAAAGAGCAATGGGTCGGCACGCACGACATTGGTTTCAAAATATATCAGCAATGTTTTTGCTTACATTACCGCGAGAATTACCAAGAGAAGCGCTCATTCGCGAAGAAAACCTCACGAAATAATCATGTTTTAAGAAAAGCAATTACGCATCTTAAGATTAAATTAAAATGGTCTAGAGAAACTGGTTTTGTGGAGCAGCTCTGCGTCCTCGGTAATTTAGTGGTTGGACCGTGGCTATATAGAATATCAATCACGTGGTTGTGGATTCAAAACTGACGGGATCTTTAGGGGTTCACACACACGCATACACGCCCCGCCTCATGGGCGTGACCGCCACGGGGCCACGTGCCGTCTGGATGTCAGTAAGCTCTGGCAGATCGGAGTGTTTTTGTGTTTTGACCATATATAATGTCTCCAAGGCAGACATGGACCTCTGCAGCATTGTAGGTGTTGTTACCTCTGCGCGAGCACTCCCAGTTCATTATTTTCAAAAACCAACTAACCGGGGACTATGCCGGATATGTCAATGAGGTTTAAGATGTTTTTTTCATTGAAAAATAATTTCAGACCTGCGCAGGCGGCTGCATTTCGTGCATGGCATATAACAACATCGCACGTTTTCATTTCACTTATTTTTACGTGTCTACCTTAATTTCACAACGTTCGATCGTAAGTAGCATGCACATGCAAAAATGCATGTTAACACTTGATAAGGGGGGACGTGCCGCCCGGTGGCCCCGGCGTGCTTTGAACACGCCCCAGCCAATAAACCAGACTACAAACGTCCCATACCTGGCGCAAACAGCAACAGCATTAATGAAGACGACGACCAAGCCGAGCCAAATCATTGACCAAGCTTTCCCGCCGTGTTTCGGCCTCTTCTCACGGTCTTTCAACGTGAAACTCTTGAAAAGGACGTCTCCATTTCATGCCCACCTTCCGTTCAAGGCCTACACACACCAATCCCGGCTACCCGGCATGCCGTGCACATACTTACTTGTAAGCCGTAACGACAGGTCTGATTCCGAACGCGGCAGGAGACAAGAGACATCCGAGTTAGTCACCAACAAACAGGCACATCTAAACAGCTGACAGTCAACGACTGGTGATGGCAAAAACTGTGAAGCATGTTGGTGCGTAACATGCATCACATGTGCCATCATTCACAGCAGTCGGCATGGGTCACCTCTTTGGCGGTCACATCCTCCCATACGCGTCGGTTGTTGCTGCCCTCGCAGTGACAGGCTTAGACGTCCCGAGAAAAAAACGACAGAAGTACTGCAAGATGTAGCAGGCAGTTTTCGAGTCAACCTCAAATGTGTTTCATCTTGCCGACCCCGTGGGTTCCCCGACGAACCCTGCCAGTCATTGGAGCTCGGACTGGTCCAGGGAGAAACTTGTTCCAGCTCTGTCAGATCGCATTTAATTTGCAAAAAAATAGAAGAAAAGAAAAGCGAAAACGAGGAACAAGCCGAGAAGGAAGACGCAGTTTTGACTTCGACGCTGGCCGTCGCGGGCTGCCGGCGCCGCGACGGGGCGGCCGGACCATGCTGACGTCATATGCCGTCAGCCTGACGTGCAGCCAATGTTCGCCGAAGTAGTTCCCCACGCGTGCGTGAGGCGCGCACGCAACATCGTCGTCTCGCGGGCCAAGCCGCCAAATCAAAGCGCCGCCGCCGCCGCCGCCGCCGAGCGGAGCGGAGCCCGCCGTCGGCCGCAGGTACAAGGCCGTGACGTCACAGACAAAATGGCGCCGGCCGTGTTGGTCGGCTAATAAGCCCCAATCAGCTGGCGGGACGGGCGGCGGCGCTCCACAGCTGGCGGCCGCCGGCCCCACCGACCGCGGGGAGGGGTGGGGTGCCCGTCAGGTCCACCTGAGGCTGCCGGAGACGCCGCGGGTCCGCCTGGGACGGGGGAAGTGAAAGGTTGGATCCAGCTCTGGGGGGGGGGGGGGGGGGGGCGCTGTGGGGACCACGTATCAGAAGAGAGCGCTGAAGTTCACGGATCCACCAGGTTCAACTGGACTGGCTGGTGTCGGGCCCAGGCATGCTGCCGGCCCCGCACGGGTATTCAAGCGGGAACGCCTCGTCCACGCGCGAGAGCTGGTGGTCCCCGTCTCCTTGACTCCCCGTCACCCTTATACGACACGCCCCTGCTGACATGCTTCAGGTCAGAATTGATGGGAAATGTACACATAAAAACCGAGCCCCGTAGCATTTATGTCGGAAACTGAAGTCCGCATTTTCGCAAAGCATAGAAGCTCTTGCTATCGTCCGGAATTTTGTGGACTTCTGTAGCCAAATCTAAGGGCCGAAACGGGCTTGTACGCACACGGGAGGGTTGATTCCCCAGAAGAGATTTGAGTCTCCACTCACATTGTGATTGGACATACTTCACTCGCGCTGGACCCGAAACCACCTATATAACTATGAACGCCAAACAACCCCAAATTCCAAGTCGGACGGCGGCCAGCCACCTGCAATGGCATCGTGAAGGTCAGAAGCCAGACGGGTCCAGGCAATGGGCCGCTAAAACCCAGCAACACCGTCGCCAATTGCACTCGCGTCGGCCCAATGGCGGCAATTCCAGCAGCCTTCTAAATAACCCAGATATGCAGGGTAAATGCCTGCAGGTCATCAAGAGAACAACATCGATATCTGCACCGAGCTCAACGCACAAGCATGGCCAATTGCGTGCCCTCCATTCCCGCACACTGACCTACGGGCCTTGCGTGCCGGCCGGCAATGCCACGTCATTGGCATTTACCGGACAAGCCAATAATTGAAACTTTGAGGGTGAACCATGACGAATAACGAGCGCCTCTGTAATATTCATATCCAATTTTACCGTTTACGGCCAAACTGGTCATTTGCTTGTAAACTGATAGGCCTTTATAGTTCAGATAATTCAGGATTACGATGGGGCTAGGCTATTGCGAGCACGACGGCGAAAACAATCATGCTGTGTTCGAGGTCCGGGTTGAAACTCCGCTGCCCGAATGTCTGCAGCTCCAAGCGTCTTGTTTGCTTACAGCGCAGTGAACCTACTCGGGCACGCTCTATAAGTGGGTTAAGGAGAGGTGTTTATTATTCATGCGGGACGTCCATAACAAGTTGTAATACATTTGGTGTTTGTTGCCTGCCGTTATCATTCGGTGCCGTTCCTTTATCCCGATCCCTGAAATATGTAGCTGTTTGTGACACAGAAAACGGCTCTAAGGTCAGTGACAAGAAATTATCAGAGCTGAGGAAGACGGCATCGATTTATGCCTCTAAGCACCGCCAGCAGGCTCTTCCGAGTCCACCCACGGCGCAGCCCAAGCTCGAAATATGACTTGCGTCAGTCTTAGCAGCAGCTTTAGGAAGAAATGACATACATCTAAAAGTGTGTCTTGGGTGCGCCGTGGGATTTTGGTGCGGCAATGCACGGTTACCACAACTTAAATCACCAGATTATAAAAACGGGACGGTTTTTACTACACCGAAGCACCAGGAAACGCCATGCATGATAAACAACACCCCTAAAGCCAGTTGATAAGGAGCCGGATGTTAACCAAATATGGTGCCTGCTTCACGAAAGAGCATGCTTATCGTTTCATGTGCGAAGTATGCACCGATCTGAGCACCGTTCAGAGTTTTGGCTCGCTCTCCGCACCCTTCCTCTCGGTTTTCCCCGCGTGTCTCCTGGTGGTCCTCCACCCCTACTCCATTACCAGCGAGCTTTCGCAACGGGGCAAAAAGAGTCGCAACGCCATCGAGCGGCATTCCAGGGCAAATAATTGACCGAAGCTCTGCGTACAGCCCGTGTCGCCATGGCAACCGCGCATTAATTATGCTCTCGACAGACATGATCACAGCAAGGGACGGCAAGTCCAGATCCGCACGGAAAAACTGAGGAAGCGTTTGGCGAACTAGTTCCCAGTTTTGCTTCCGCGGGCTTCAACGGCGCTGGTCGACATATACACGGGTAGTCAGCTGGCGTCATCGGCCGGTGTGCCCCTACCTTTGGTCCTGACTCTGGGTCCGGCCGCGGTCTGGCTCTGGCTTCGGTCCCGGCCCTGGCTTTAGTGGAAGGAAATGCAAATTAGGCGCAGGAAGCACTCTCCAGCAAATTGTAAGCTTATCTAGAAGCAAAACTCATCGACCGTGCTTCAATCCCCAGATATCCGGCTTCTTAGAGCCTACCGAATGAATCATGAGATCATCCTCCACACCTTCCACCCCCATTTTTTACATCGGAGCGGAGGGCGGTGCGCAATAATTCCAAAGTTCCCTCCAGCCGCCGCTGAGCAGCCTCTCGCGAGCCCCATTTCCTCGGCCGCGCGAGCTCGCCGCCCGTCAATCTACTGGCCGCTATCTGCGCCGATCCCATAACAGCCTGTAAAAAGCGGCCCGGTTACGTGAAGCGCGGCGCGGCCGGCGTGCACGAGGGCTCGCTGCATGTGTGGGGCACAGCCGATTGGGCCGATTACCCGCGCCGCGTACCGCGATCCGCCGCCGTGGCGTGCCGACTGAGGGCGCCGCCAGCCGCGCGCTGACCCGCATGTGACCCGGCCGTGGGAGGAGGTCTGCTGGGGCTGGGGCTGGGCCTGGTGGGTCATCTAGCTGGTCTGGTGGGATTGGCTTCCGGTTCTGGGGTAGTCCAGGAGCACTGGGTCTCATCGTAGGCCGGGGGAAATGGGCACGAAAGGTCTTTCAATGCTTCTTCACTTCACAATGCCGTGGGGGCAGTGTTAAATTTCTTCACAGCCCTGAAGGAGCAAACGTCAGGTTCTTTCAAAGTTGGAGGCATTGCATCCCAATCTTCTTTTCCCGCACCCTTGAGGTGGCACAAAATCGCAACGCCTCGACTCATAAACATCCGCTGCATTACGCAGCTCTTCCCCTCCAGGCGAACGTCTAAGCTTACCGTTGGCGGGAGCCCAGCTGACCCGCCCCGCCCCGCCCGCCGGCGCTCGTGTGGCGGCCAGCGGTTCCGTCCGCGGGCGGCGGCAGCGGCTTTGGCTTTGCTCGCGTGTCGGTGGCCGCCGTGCCCGCCACCGCCGTAATTGCTTGTGCGGATCGCCCGAACGGCAATTATCAGCTTTGTGAAATCCGGGGCGGGCCGAACCGAGTCGGGGCACCGCGTGACGGCCGAGGGGAGAAGTCTGCGTGACTCGACAGTCGCGGCCGGACCGGCACACTCGGACCCAGCGAGGCCTAGGCATTCCGGGTCAGACCGCAGCGGCCTGGGAGGCTCCGACCTGGCCAGCCCAGGAGATTCCGGAGGGAAAGGCAGAGATGTCCCCGGAGATGTTCGAGCTGGAATGTTCCAAGGATGCTTGAAGCAAAACATCCAGCAAGATGCGGCCTGAAGTGAAAGTCACGGCCGTAATGCGATGATAAGACGTGGTCGCGGCTAAGCGGCTCGTTTTGTAAATCAGCTACCGGGACATTCGGAGAACAGCAAGATTAACGCGTAAAACCAGACTATGACCTAGTGATGAGGACATCGCATCTCAAGCTTAAAGAAGGAACGTGCACATCCCAAAAGGAGGCACATGTGTGGAGTCCACCTGTTAATTATATTTGACTTAAATTGGCCGCAAAAGCCATTTACACCACCTTGAGTCACCGCGAATATAAGCACCCGGGCGGCAGCGGACATGCTGAGCTTTCCGTCGTGCCCCACGTCGGTTAAGCCGAGTTCACTCCATCCGCCCGAGCACAGGTGTCCCGGCGAGCCTTTAACAAGGCATTAGCGCGGCTTTACATGCTCGAGAAAATTGCCTTTTGGAGCCGGGCGGCGCGGTAAGCCGGGGGTAGCGTGTCGGCGTGCATACAGACAGCTCGCCGGCCGGCCGGCGCGTGCAGCGGCCTGGAGGGGGCATGCACGGCCGCGGGGGTGCGGAGGAGCGGGGCATGCCCAGCCCGACCCCGGCCCCGGCCCCGGCCCCGGCCCTGGTCCTAGGCCTGGTCTCCGCGCCCACCCGCCCGGTGCCAGTCAGTAGCAGTCGCCAGCGTCCTGACCGCGTTACACTTTTCAGGGAGGTTGACGAAGCGTTTCTGGGAAGCGTGACTGACCGTGTGATCGAAGGTCAGGGCTCGAGCGCAGAGTGCGCGCTGACGTCACTTCTACACCTCACGCACGTGGTCGTCGTCCCGCGGCACCCCTAGGCGGCACACGGGTGCGACGAGCCTCGCATTATGGCCGTCCGAGCTCGTCTCTAGCGTTCCCCAGTGCAGGCAAAGTGAGGGTGGAGCTGGTACTGGCTCCTTTTCGCGGATGTGCAATTAAAGCTCTATGCTGATGCCGGAAAACATTTACTTCAATGTCCGTCTGCACCCCCATCCGATTGCAGTTTTGCTGTCTTTTGAGCGTCCATGTGCAAGTCTGATTGGACACAGCGCTCCTTTCTCAGCTTTATGCTTGTGACCTGGCTCCAGTCTGATGGAGCTGGGTTCGACTGGGTCCTGCTTGGCAGTGCGAGGGGTCAGACCAGGTCAGGCGGCGCAGATGATCGGAGCAGTCCGCTCGGCGCCCGGAATGTGGCCGTGCACCGGACGCCGGGAGGCCCTGTCTCGCGGGACGGTGGCAGGCCCTGACTCGCAGCGGCGGTGGGGAGGCCCTGACTCGCGGGGGCGGTTGGGAGGTCCTGACTCGCGGGGGCGGCGGGGAGGCCCTAACTCGCGGCGGCGGGGGAGGCCGTGACTAGCGGGGGAGGTGGGGAGGCCCTGCCTAGCGAGGGCGGTGGGAGGCCCTGACTCGCGGGGGCGGTGGGGAAGCCCTGGCTCGCGGGGGTGGTAGGAGGCCGTCTCTGGGCTGCGCCACTGGCCTGAACCGGCAGGAAGAGGCGCGGGCGGAGGCGCGGGCGGCGTCGCGGGCGGCGGTGTGGCGGCTCCGCCCGGGCGGGTAACACGGACTCTGCTACGCTGAGCTCTGACGCGGATACCGTTCGCGGGCGTGAGGCACGGGCGGGGAGAGGCCACGGGAAAACCGAACATCATTGCACCGGCAATGTTGCCTTTTTGGGTGTCTCACACACATCTTTTGGGGTGCCTCCAATTTCTCGCTTGCACCCAGTTTTCAACAGAAAAAAATCGGCTCCTGCTTTCACGCAGCAGCGCCTGCCAGAGCAATGGATGACATTGCATTTTGTGGTTGCGCATTGCAACCAAAGACGCAGTCTTTGCAAAAACCTGGTGCCAGTACCGTACCGGTACCGACCCAGATGTACTGATCCCACATACAGAGCCAGAGCCATGGTTCGGCTGGTTACACCACTGGCACCAACGTTCGACACAGTACACGCACTCGGCGTCGGACAGCATTCGCCAACGCCTGCGAAGTCGCAGCAGGGTTCCGTCAGGCACCGCTATGATACCTGGGGGACCAGTGCGAGTTCGGCCAGCGCACCTGCAGTGACGAGCCAGGGTATCTGGTACTGTGAAATCTGTGCTAATGAAGTGATCACCCAGCGCGTACTGAGTCCGGGGGCAGTTCATGTCAAGCCAGGGACAAGCATGAAGCTTTGAAGCCTGTCGGAGGGGCTGCTTCCTCGTGTTCGGACTGCCGTTTCATCTGGTCTGCCTGTCTCCGGTGGCGTTTGAGGTGCTCTCCTCACTCCCAGAGGCCAGCCCGGGCTGAGTTCGGGGGCCAGCTCTCACTGCCCCCTGATTAGCCCGGGGCCGCGGCTGGCCAGGGGTGGCAGAGGTCGCGTGCCGCCGCGGCGGCCACTGCCCGATCCCACACACGGCCGGTCGATGGCGACAAAATAATTACGCGCCTCCACGCGGGTGGCGCGCGCCGGGTTTAGGGTTAATCACGCGGCTCGTGACTCGCGCCGGCGGCCTGTGACGCGTTGCATGTTTCCATTACCGGGACGTTTTTATCGGCGCTGTCTGGGCGGCGGCGGGTTGGGTGGGCGCGGCAGCCGGGTGAACTGCTGCGAAGGTGTCAACCGGCTGACCCGCTCGCCGGAGGTGTTCACTTGATGGAAGGCAGGAGGGGCCTGTGGGATTCATGGGCGACAGAGAGAGGGCAGGAGCGAGAGAGGGGAGAGAGAAAAGGGAAGAGAAAGGAGAAAAACGGACGGAGGGAGAGAGTGTATTTGTCTCAGACAGGTGCCTATGTTTTCACCATCGATTTGTTGAGCGACGTGACAAAGTTAGCATTCGGACCTGCTGGGTTGCCCGTCACCTTTGGAAATCCTATTACCTGGAGGACGACACAAAAACAGAACGTGTGGCACCTGCGGAAGTAATGGAAACGACGCCAGTCAGCGGGGGAGACGATGGCTGCAGCATGGGGGTGGAGATGAGGGCGAGACACCTCATCGGCCCCACACAAGCCGAGGAACAAATGTGGCGGCCTCTCAGCACGGCGTCTGTGCCGAGATTTCCAAAGTTCATGGGAATCGCCCCAATCTATCCCCGTCAGCAGCGCAGACAAACTCATCAATCATCTTGCTGTATCTTCGAAGCATCATAAAGCCAGATGGGCTTGATCTGGTGGTTTTCGAACAGCTCAAACGGACATGTGAATATCTCTCGCATGAAGCTACCAGTTAAATACCAGGTCGTCTTTCCGCTGAGGTGCGCAGCCGCTGGCCTGTTTCATTTGTCCATATATTTTTCCGGATCATTCCGTGAAGAGTAGTGCAGTCTTGAGGTATGGCAACGTTAGCTCATCCGATATTTACCTTTCACGGACTGTCAATGACCGAGCTTGTTGAACAACCTTGTAACATTGCGGTAAATCTGACAGAATCAGCCTATCTAAGCAGCTGTCTTCATGATGCAATGCACCTTTGCATTGTGGCTGCTGCTCTTGCTTAATGCACAAGTTGAAGTGCAAAAATTAATATGTTATTCATTAAAACTTCACTTGCCTACATTTCAACTTCGGAAGAGTACGCAAGAGGAATACTCCTTCCGTTGTTCAAAACGTTGCGCCCAGCGGCATTTTTTTTTCTCAGGCTCACATAAACATTCCCACGTATGCCTGTCAAACATGCTCCACAGCCCTTCATGGTCCGCCCTTCCTCCAGCCGGACACCAGTGACGTCACGCGCCCGAGCGCTACTTTCGCCCGCGCCGCGTTCCCTCCGACCAACCTTGCGCGGTGTGCTGCTCCATGGAGCGGAGCGGGTCGAAGCCGCCGAAAGAGGGCCCGTGGGAGGGCATGCCGCCGGCCATGCTGACCGAGGGCAGGAAGCCGGCCGCCGCCGCCGCCGCCGCCTGGTACATCCGCGACGTCGCCATCGAGTTCAGGTGGTCAAAGCTCGGCTGTGGGCGGGCCGCCGGAGCGTCAGAGGGCCTCAAGCGGGAGGCGAAGTGGCTCAAACCCGGCTGTGGAACGCGGGAGGGGTCAAAAGCAGTGGCGGTGGGTCTGGGGGTGGGAGGGGCTCCTCCAGGCTTCCGAAGAGTGTTCCGTTAAGATCTCCGCAGCGGGTACATTGGGGACTTCTCCTCACTGAGACGTGTTTTCTCCTTGGTTTCTTTCCACGCAACGCCACAGGGCTAGCCCAAATTATGCGAAGGTGGGGCCGCTACTTCCGGCCCTACCCGACAACGAGGAGTGGTGCTTTGCTTTAGGGGCAGCTGCACGCGTGGATTGCAATGCACCGATTACCATGTCACTGCAACAGTTCTCAGCCTTAAGCCTGCGGCACGCCCCAAGATCAAAGAAATTCTGCCGCTGGCCGGCGCAATCGAATCAGCCCCGGCACGCAGGCCGATTCTTTGCAGAACGGGACTTAGAGACAGCCGTATCCCACAGACGCACGTCCAGCGACGGGGTCCACTGACACCGGCGGCCCGGCGGGGACACACCCCGTGACCACCCTGCGCTCGCGCCCGTGCGACGCTGTTTCATCAGACATTCTCGGGCTCAGCTTACGTCGGAATTAGCCGGCGCCGCTTCCCAGAGGCTGTGGCGGCTCGTGGTGCACGGCGCCGCCCGGCCGACCGCAGCCTCCCGCCCGGGCCGGCGGCGTCCGCTGAGCCGACCGGCCCTATTGAGTGGGCATTACCGGTCACGCGAGCGGAGGTGGCCCGCTCGGTGCGGGCGCGCGCTGGGTCAACAGCGCGGTCAGGAAAACACTCCGGGGAGGCGGCGAGCAGCCTGGAGTACGGCGGGGTTGCAGAGTGCCGTCCCCTTTGGCTTCAGATGTTTGGTTTTAGAAATGAGCGACGATTTCCGTTTAGCTCAGCGTATGAAATGATACGTGCCGTGCTTGTGTTCAGAAAGGCGCTGGCCCGACACGTAATGTCCTGTGCATGGCTTAGTCTCACCATGGCGCTGCGCATGTGGCTGATATTGGGGTATGTTTGTTGGCCCTAAGCGATCGAAGTGACATAGGCCTAATGTGAGCCCCGCCAGAGCTCAGAAGACCTGACACCCTTCACCTCCGATGACGGAGCTCATGCAGCCACGCGTTTATTGCTGTTTTACACACAAAATGATTAGAATCGTACCTTTTATTACGAGGCCCGGCTTGGAAAGGCCTCCAGCGTTTAAGCGGCTGAAGGAGTTAGTGCATCTGCTAAACACTGCGCAGAAATACAGGGACGAATTGTGATCTTCGGACTTGAAGAATGTTTGAGACGAGTCCTCGTCGCCTATGTTGATACACATTGGAACTTGTGTTGACACACATTGAAACTCGTGTTGACACACATTTAAACCCGTGTTGCTACACATTGAAAATCATGTTGAACACATTGAAACCTGTGTTGATGCATACTGAAACCTGTGTTGATGCACATTGAAACCAGTGTTGATACACATTGAAAACTGCGTTGATGCATATTGAAGCCTGTTTTGATACACATTGAAACCTGTGTTGATCACAGTGAGACCTGTGTTGAAGCCTGCGTTGATACACATTGAAACGTGTTTTGATACACAGTGAAACCCGTGTTGAAACCTGTATTGGCACACATGGGAAAAATATTTGAACTACTATTCTCATCTGTTTTGTCGATTTGCGCACTACGTCTCGGCCAGTTATTTCTCCATCCGACACCAGAGGTGACCGTTTGTCCCGACAACCATATGAAGTTGTTTGGCTCATCATCATGGACACACAATAGTCTCAAGAGGCTTTCGCAAGATCTTATCACGCTGAATGAGAGCGCTGCCATGATGAAAATACCAGCACCGAGTATTAGTCTCATATGATGGCGTCATAGAGCTGCTGCATATTCTTCCAATGAGAAGAATTATTTGACTCTGTCAGTCGCCGTCTCATGATTTCTATCTGGTGAGAATCATGCCGCGCTAGCCTCTCCTACGTTTGCCTACATCGCGTAGTTGGCTTCATGCCTGTTTCAACTCTGGTCGTCGGTTGCTCTGGTATCTTAAAAAACGCCCAAGCCCTCCTCCCAAAATGCACGGTTCGCGCTCGAGTGTGCGTGTCCAGCTGCTCACATCTGCTGCCAGTACAATTTTGCGTTTTCTCGTCCGTCAGACGACCTTGATCTCATCTCACGACACCGGGTCGCCGAGATCTGGCCCCAGTATTGATTTGCGTTGCTCAGCCTTTTGGCAGTTAGAGATGTCGCGCCCGCCACGTCACGAGCGGCCATACGAACGACGTATCACGAGCGGCTCACAGTTTGTTCACAAGCACCATGCTGCGGGGTAATCACACCTAATCAAATGGCTCCCAGCAGATACAAATAGCATGGGTATAAACATCAGACAATGCAACTTTTATGCTATGCTTTCTGTTGATAACAACTGAATGAAACCACGTCCAGGTGTCACAAAAATATCTTGTTAGAGAGCGCGGTGACCCGACCCGGATAGCAGGCCTACCATGCAAACTGAAAATATCCTCATGCTCGAGCAAGACTCGCCTCTACTGCGTCCACGCTCGAAATGAAGGCCCACCCGCGCTGTATGCTGCGGACGTAATCAGACATGCTTCTCCGTCCAAAGGAGTACCCGCCTGAGTGAAAGGACGATGTCTCGTCCAGTTTCCAAAGTTAGAGGCGTCGGCGCCGTGTCGGATGCGCCATTTTCAGTATTTGACTGCGGCTTTCCGCGTGCGATTGCGTCTTTTGACGAAGCCGCACATATATAATGACGTCGGGTGTGACCGGTGAGAATAAGCCGTTGCATGTGATACGATTTTTGTTGTTGTTTTGTTAGCGTAGCATTACGTAACTGAAATATAGTTTTTCAACTACATTTGGAGAATGCCACCGACGGAGCCGTCGGCACACACAAACTGGTAAGAATAGCCAATGATGCGAAAAGCTCACTCAGGTCAAAGAGCTTTTTAGTGTGCTCCTCAGTGTATGTGTCACCCTCCTGATACACCAATCAGCTCTGCTTAGACCCACCGCATCCCCGGAGATATCTGTCTGCCAGGGAGCACGGTCAAAACGTGCGCACAAGAGGGCTGTTCAGTGGTCTTGCTGCGAGGCATCGGCGCTTCTTGTCAGAATTACGGCATCGCCCTTAAATGCCTGACAACGACGCCGCACCGGTGCCAGACTGGACACCATGGTACCAACTAACAGACAACACAAGATTTGGCTGGCGGGAATACCGACAACAGCTTTCAAGGCGTTCGGTGCAGGCCAACACTCCCACTCCGGGACATCGGCTGTCTCAACATTTTTCAGTCTACCCACTGTTTTAGTGCCGACGGTTCTGACCTATTGCCGGCCTTCAGAATGCTGTATTTAAGTGACGCTTACTAGATTGTTATTGCTGAAAAAACTTCCCAACACTGCAAACACTCAAAATTCGCCATGACTGTTGTTAACAGACATGACATAAGGCATTATGACATTAGACATTATATTATATGGTAGATGTTTTACATGGTTCATAGGGATTCCAGAGACGCAGAGCGGTTAAGCTAAGCGCTTGGAGAACCAGAAGTACTGGGTCCGATTCCCCGCGGTGCCCGCCAACTTCATAACCATCGTTTATTAAAGCAGCTCGGTGCATTCACAAGGGCCCTGGTTCAGCTTGGGACGTGAGCGTCAGGACGTTTCTAGTAGTGCCTGCCTTAGTTCCGCGCGGGACGTGAGCGCCAGGACGTTTCCAGTAGTGCCTGCCTTATGGCACTCTGAACAGGCACTGTCAGAATGTGCATCCGCGTAAAGTGCTGTAACAACTGTGCCTTAAAACATCTGAAAATGCCCTGGCTGACTGAAGGGGTTTTGAGTATCTTGAGGTCAGTAACTTTTCTCTTATCAAATCATCTGCTCCTCTGTTTCAAGGCGCGCTCTTACCGACCTCTGCACGGCCCGAACCTAAGGCGTTGCGTTCGGTGTCCCCAATCAAATCTTCAAAATCGAAACGTTTTGTCTTTCCTTCAGAGTAAAGGTACTATTTCTGACACACTTCATGACATAAAGGTTGCTGAAAGGTCCTCTGTCGCTCTCATCCGCCGCTGGGAGAAGCAGTCTGGACGAGCGGGATGCTCGGGACCAGGCTTTGCCTGTCGATCTGTTCTGGTCTGGGTTCTTTGGCGAAACTGAAGCAAAAGTCATTGTGCATACCCTTAGCGGCAAGGTCCCCCGCTGAGTCTGCTAGTTTCACTGCATGGTGGACATCGTTTCCGAAATGATTCAGCTCGAAGAGAGGTCTGGTCGGCCAAAGCCAAAGCCTTCAATAAATCCATTCGGTTATTTCCAGCTGCACACAAAGCTGACTGTGGACGTATCACACAGCGTCTGAGAGATTGGGGGGGGGGGGGGGGGGAAATCGAGACCTGGGCGGCCAGCTCGATCTCATGTTGTAGTATCAACACGGAGGATATACCAATCTCTGACTGTGGCTGCGGAAGCGGGAAGTAAAAACTAATTTTGGCAACCTTGGAGGGTGCACGTGCCACCAGCTCTCCAACGGCTACACCCAGGGAGCTGGTCGGACGCGAACCACCAGAGCAAAACAACTGCACGACGTAAGCCCGCTCCAAATGATCTGGCCAAGCCGCAAAATGTCAATATGCTCCAATTCATCTCAAAGTACTCAAACATGAACTGGTAGCCAACGCACCTAAAGGGGCAAAATGACGGCAAATCTGCAAAATTGTGAGCTCCCGTCTGAAACGGTGTTTATAAGTTCGGAAGATGTTACTGCTGCACGACATGTCATGACTGGACAAAGGCACCAAACATCTATTCAAAAGAGCTCGTCTGTACGCACAGCAGATAGGTGTACTCAGATCTAACTGATTTGTGTGAAATGCACCCTACAACCGCACGAAAATCCCTGAATATCACAGAAATTACCGCCCCCTTCGTTACCTTTCTTGTGTACTGTACTACTGTCAACACCAATGCACCCCTCATCCGCCACATAGCTAACGTCGGGAACTGTGGCTGTCGTCAGCGGCTGGTGGGATGCGTCTGTCTGTGCCGGACTTACGACCGTCCTCAGCGGCTGGTGGGATGCGTCTGTCTGTGCCGGACTTACGACCGTCGTCAGCGGCTGGTGGGATGCATCTGTCTGTGCCGAACCTGCGGCCGTCGTCAGCGGCTGGTGGGACGCGTCTGTCTGTGCCGGGCTTACGACCGTCCTCAGCGGCTGGTGGGACGCGTCTGTCTGTGCCGAGCCTGCGGTCGTCGTCAGCGGCTGGTGGGATGCGTCTGTCTGTGCCGGACTGGGTAAGGACGCGGCTTAAGTCTCCGGTTGCTCGCTCTCCCACGGCGCGTCTCCCAAGTCTCCGGGTCAGCCCACCCGGGCCTCCTCACTCTCTCGCCGACACACCCCGCATCTCGTCACTCACCTGCGACATGAAGTGCGGCCGGCTGTAGGAGACGGCCGGCGGCGGCAGTGTCGGCGCCATCGCCGTCGGCGAGCGCTGCTCCTGATTCAGCCCGAGCAGCTCCTGGATGGCGAACGGCGAACGCTGAGGGAAGGCCGGCAGCGCCGCGCCGCCGCCGCCGTGGCCGCCCGCCAGCATCGGCGCACCCATCCGGTCCGGGTGCATCACGTTCATCATGGTCCGGGGCCGGCACCACACTGAGGCCGCGCGTCGACGCCGCCGCGTTCGCCGCCTGCGCGCGCGCGCTGACAGACGCACGCCACGCCGCTGAGCAAATACAATTAAACGGCTGTAATTGGTGCGATTGACGGGCGCCGAACGCACGCGAGGTGATGATGATTATGCGGCCGGGTCGAGTGCGCGCGCCAGATATAATTCGCCGGTCGCATGCGCGCCGCGCGCGTCTCTCCGTGCGTAATTGCCACTGCTGCCCGGACAGCGTCGGAACTGGCTCTAAATCTCGCTCGGACCGCTTCGGCGCTCATACGCCAGCCTATTAGCGGTCGGCCCCGCGTCACTGCGGAAGCCCCGCCCACCGCCGGCCGCCGGCCAATCAGCGGGCAGCGATAGCCGGACGACGGACGGCCCAGTAATTGGCTTGTTAGAGGGTGGAGAGTGTCCGAGATGTAAGAAAATGACTGGCCCGAATTCTGGCCGGTAAGGTGCGGTACGTCGGGGAGGTTAATTTGCGGCTTAGGAACAGCGAAGACCCTTCTGAGCGTTATGTTTTACTGTGGTCAAGGTTGCGTGCCTTCCGTGGGAATATTTTTGATCGTACCATTCAAGTACTTCCAATGCTTTTATTAACAGGACCAGACTGATAGGGACAGGGGTCCGTAGGCGCCTTCCGCTTGCACAGCAGACCTTGCTGTCAGCATACCTGCGTGGATTTTCGATGGGCCTCCTTCCAAAATGCGAAAATAGAGTGGGGCAACTTGTTTTGCGGCAAAAAATGTGTTGTGGAATGCCGTACTGGGTGGCGGTAAGGACTGCATTACGGCAGCGGCTGCTTCTCTGGCAGTTTCAGGGCAAGACTCGACTTCTCTTTGTTTGTTGACGCCTTGCGCAAAGTGTTAAATTTGCCAAGTTAGGGGGACAACCGCTCTCTGCCACTCTGCCCGATCCGTTGGTACAACTTTCATCATGGGACGATTGGTGTGAGCAAAGCCATGCCTTCACCCTCGCCAGGATTCGCCATTGCTTTCATAACATGAGGAAAAGGGGTGGAGGGACGGGGTGGAGCCCTGCCATTTACAAATCAAGAATGATGGACTCTTGCGGAGATAGGAGTGGAATGGCTTCAGCGATATCTCACGACTACCTACCGACTTTCTGTTGCTAGGTCAATAATTGGTGCCACTATTGCGCCTCATTTGTGCCGAAAATCGGACCCACTCAGCTTTACGTGCCAACATTTACGGAACCACTCCACGTGGCAACGCGAAATTCGTGTCGACACGTTTCTTCTTTAATTTTCAATCGATGCGATTTTGCGAGCAACTATTGATTGTATGGGGATTCGGTAAACGTGAACACCTTCCCCGCCGGCCGCAATCGGCTGGCCGTCGGTCGCCAGCCCCTCAGGGGATCGACGACCGACGCGGCGGCCGGCGCGCCGCCCGCGCCGCCAGCACTGCTGTTTTGTTTTGGCATTGTGAGTTGAAAGGTCTTATGCTGAGCATAATCAGCCTTTAATAGATCAGGAGCCGCTGGTTAAACGACGTTTTCAAGGAAGACGTTTCAAGTTGCAAGGACGTTTCAAGTTTAAGGAATCGCCCTTTAAAGGGCGATTGTCAGGAAAGTAAGGTTGTTCAACTCACAATGTAATTTTCCTTATGTCGTGGTAAAAAAGCGCCTCCTCTAAAAAAACACAATTGCGACAAGCACGTTTTTGTTATTAAACCCACGCAATGAATTAATTATGAAAAGCTGGTGAAAATGTGGACCCGACTCCGCAGCATATTAGGGAAACATCACCAAACAAACTTAAGGGAGCCGGTCGCATCAACCCATCCCCTCTCCGGGTGCTGATTGAATACTGATGTGCCTCATTTCTGCTTTGGTACCGTTTAATGCGGTCAAAACACAAAAATAGTCCGATCTGCTTAGAAGCAATTTGAGCCCTAGCCCTACCGTCCCAGTGCTGGTTACGTACACTGTGCTTAAGGACTGGGGCAGAGCGCTTCTGAAAACTCTTATTTCGAAAATAACGGCGTTTTCAGGATGTTAGTTCCGGACAGTTCTGGAAACCATATTTTCAGCTTTAACCTTAAGAGCTTTTTCTTCAAGCGGGGCACCTCGAGACGCTAGCGAATGGGGCGCGTTGTGGAATGCATTATCCATAGCACCATGGACATGATCGGCACAAGAAACCAATTTCTTTCAACACGAGCAGTTTCCTCCACACCTCCTCAGCGCAAAGTGCCTCGGCCGCCGGCGCACCCTCAAGCTCCATTCATCATCATCCTTTACGATTCCAGCCAAAACACCGCCTATGTCGTTCAATCAACTCATGGAACTTTGCAATTATGCATTACATGGGGGCTTACTGAAGAGTTTCATTTCCTTTTCCAGCACCTGCGGGGTGCTAAATGCCTTTCTTTTCTGCAAAAATTTTCCTTGTGCCCTACCCATTGCGCAACCATGCACGTGCCCTTGGTTTGACTTGGCACTAGCACTTACTTGAAAACTACGCGTAATATTGCGACCCGGTGACCCGGTTACGTTCATAGCAAGGAGTCGGAAATTTTTGCAAAAACGTATAGTGGCAGTTTGACGCTTCCGTTTTGACGGTTGACAGTCTCTGCCTCTGCATTCTTGCGTCCGGTGTTCTTGCACTGATATTCATCTGTAAGTGGCTGGTTAACTAAATATACTCATTTGCTAGTGACTGCTGAACTAAATAGATCATCAGTGATTGGTGGCATATGAAGCTACGTGAAACAGATTCATGTGCACCATCAGTGTGAAATGCGACCACGTAACTGTTACAACATGAGCCGCTAAACATGAGGTCATTTTCTAGTCGAAACGCAGCCGACATTTCGATTACCTCGGCATTCTGACTGTCCTCGCCCAGACACGACACCGTATACACCACACTCCATGCCGTCAGAGAAAGAGAATTATCGTAGAAGCGCTGATGTTTCCCCACATCCAATCTGACAGGCTGTCTGGGGTAACCGCTCAGCTGCACGGGAACGTGGGGTTCAAAGATCATTCAAACTTCGCCGATTGCTCCCGTCTTCATTCAGCTTGAATAAGCGCGACCACATGTCTCCAACGCTGCTTCGGATGGCATAGTCGGTAACACCTGATGTGATCTCCCACAAGGACGTGATGGCGGCGGTGGTGGTGATAATACTAATACTAATACTACTACTACTACTAATAATAATAACAATAATAATAATAATAATGATGATGATGATGATGCGACACATTCTGTCGGACACCCGCGCGCCTGAGCGGGTGTGAAAGCGGTTCGTGCCCACATTCCACTAGAACACAGCTGGCGAGATATTGGAGTGCACACCAAGCTCGCGCGCTGATCATGTTTTCCAAGCGCCTTTTGCGTATAATTTTCTGTCACCAGACGATGGACTGCTTCCGACAGTTGGCGCTTTGGTTTTCAAGAACAGCCTGGTTACTTACCTGCGAGCGAGATGAATATGTAACGCCATTTGCTTGTCACCGGTCCAAAGATATACGAGAACTTACACAGATGACTCTATAAGAGGTGCAGGCGTGGCCTGTGCCCTCGTGTGTGGCCCAAACACATGCTCATTCATATTGCCTGCCCATGCATCCGTCTGCCCATCCGAACCCATAGCTATCATTGAAGCTCTTTGTTTTATAGAAGTGGACGGGACCTCTTTACATTTGATACTCTCCGACTCATTGAGCAGTCTGTTGGCCATCTGTGGCTCGTGCCTTTCTAACCCGCTTTTACAAGATATCCCTCGCGTCTTACCTAACTGGATCGGGCGGAAAATAGCGGTGTTATGCTGGATCCCGAGCCACGTGCGGATCACTGGACAATGATCTCGCCGACAAAGGAGCCAAATATGCTTCGCAACGGACGCGCATACCCGTCACACCACTGCCTGCCAAGGACATGTACCCAGTCAATTCATCCTTTATGCAGTAGCTATGGCAGTACCGCCGTGATTGGTGCAGCAACAAGCTGAAGAACATGAAACCGCGCATCAGACTGTGGCAGTTGTATTTCCGTGAAGAGAGAAGGGGTGAAGTTACTCTTTGCCGCCTACGCATGGGAAACACTTGTGTAACCCATGGGCATCTGCCACTTGCTGATGATTTCGTCATCTGCCCCCGATGCGGCGACCCGCTAACCATGTGTCAAGTAATGGTCGCCTGCCCTGACCTAGTCGGCGAAACACGGCTGCGGTTTTTCGGACGGAACGCCCAAAATCTTACACTGGCGAAACCTTAGGTGATGAATCTGACGCTGTCGAAACACGAAAGCTTTTTCAGTTCCTGTCTACTGTAGGTTTTACTGTGATATTTTCGCCATTACAGCATACTTGACTCAGTCTTAAAGGTTGCTTATTGTTAGGGTATCAACAACACATTTGAAGCACGACTCTGCCGAATCAGACGGTAGTCATGGGTGCTGCGTGACCATTTTCAGCCGACGCGCCCTAAAACACCAAACCAACGCCACAGGTGCGTCATGCGCGTGGGCGTTTACTTCTGTGTCCGATGTGTATTAATTGGATGCCGAAAAAGCCTCAGGTGGAGAATCCTTAATGCGGTCCCACTATATTTCCTCCAATAAAAGCGGGCTTTGAAGCCGAGAGCATGCCACAAACATTTAACACGGTCGGGTCAGGTCGGGTCGGGTTGGATCGGGTTTTATCGAGTCGAGTGATGTCGGATTTGGTCGGTCTGGCCAGTTTGATCGGGTCTGCTCGGGGTGGGGCTGGGTTTTTCAAACGCCAAGTGCCCTTGCATTTCTCAAAAGCTTTGCGGGACTGTTGCCGAGGCCATCGGCAATCATGTGCGGTTGCATCAGTCATTTGGCGGGTCAGGTGCTGCCCGGCACGGCTGGCGTGGATGAATTTTTGTGAGCGTGACAGGAAGTGCGGGAACACTCCGATTTTAATGCAACAGGAAATACCGGAGAGCTCAACGCCGCCTGCTTTCGGATAAAAAATGGGTTCGAATGACGTACCAAAGTACGCCACGGCTGTCACCGCTGTTTTTAGTCGTCTTTTTCAGCAGACAACTAGTCATAGCCCGCGTCCAATCGTCAAACTGTCTAGCCTTGTGGCAAACACAATTCGTGAAGGACGTTCATGAAAAACTGGGCTCAATTCTCGGCCGTCTTAGTCACGTTATGAAACGTGACTGCTAATTCTTACTGGCATCTGGCGGCAATTTTACCGCCTATGCAAGTCTTTTAGGACTGC